GGGGGGGGGGGGGGGGGGGGGGGGTGAGGGCGAAATTAATTTAGTAAAATGTTTCTCGATTTAGTAAATTTCGAGCACAAAGTTTTAGCTTGTAATACGGTATATATAATCCATCGCATTGCAATAGCAGTATCAGACACACTGATCTCAAAGATCAGACATCAGAACATTGAGAAACTTTTATACAAGGACTACAATGCAAAAATGTTCCTTAGGGAGCATTCATTTTTTAGCTGGGGGGGTGGGCCGGAGGAATTTGGGGGTGGGTCAGCCAATTTTGACATGCTTCAAAGGGGTGGGTCTTTTCATAGTTTTGGTATAAATGGAGGGGGTCATAAAAATAATCAGTCAAAAAATCACCAATATGATTTTATTGAATTTGGAAATATTTGGATCAAGAATGGTAAAAGGTCTAGAATCTATCAACTATCTCGTCATCTATAATAATGAAGCAATATTCATTTGACGCTCTGTTCACACAGTCCATAGGAAAACATTTCCATGACGTTCGTCAATTGACTTCATTTTTATCCGTTTTTGTGTGAAAACATGAATGAAAGAAAACGCAGGACCGTAGCATGATTTCAAAATCATGCATGATTTCAAGGTCTGCATGACTTCAAAATCATGCAGACCTTGATCAATTTTAAGCTTTATTAATTTTAAGTGGCTACATTATCCATGACAAACTGCAAATAATGAAAATAGTACCCATAGTTTCCTGCAACTTATCCTAGTTATCCAATATATAGTAAATTCAATACGCCTTTGCCCATTTAGTACTACCAAATTGTCAATTTCGACATACTAAAACGCTGTTTTCTGACCATCAGAATTCTGTCAAATCGTCCCCCAAAGGCCAGGGAATGGCATTTCAGAGACTCTAGATTAAAAAATTTCCTCGGGCCTTTGGCCCTCGGTTTCAGCCCCCCAATCAAAAAGAGCTTCCTACGGCCCTGAAACGCTATGGAAACGACACCTTGTGGATTAATAGTTAGGATGAGGGGTCAAAAAATTTTCAGTAAAAAAAATAGGGGGTCATAATTTTTTATCAACTTTGTCTTGGGGGTTCCAAGTTTTCGCATGGAATTAGA